GAAATAACCAAGCAATCTTCTGTATCCTTCTGTAAACAGGTATGTACAACACATTCCCTTATGTTATGATCAAGTGGTATTTTTAAATGTTTTTAAGACTTCACTTGCTTCAGTGATATTATCTGTCAGTGCAGTGTGAGGCTGTGAATGATCTGAGATACAGGATTTCCTACCCCATCAGCTGGTGGCATCCAGGGGTCAGGGCTCAGCTTAACAAGTCCCATGAGACAGGACAAACTTTAGTCCTTGGCCACTGGTGCCACACCTGGCCACACAAGATGTCCCATGTCAAATCCCTGCAGAGCTCCACTCATCAGTGCTTGTCAGCTCTGAGATCTCAGGACAAAGTAAAAAAAAGCAGCTCTCTTTCCAGCCCTAGAAAAAAAAAAAAATATATGCACATATTTGCTGAGGTTTCAGAAATACTCCCGTATTTTTTATTTGTATACATATGCATGTGTGTGTACAGGTGTAGGCCTTGTCAGGGACATGTTAATCAGCTGGGTGACAAGCAGACCCCAGTGGTCCTGGCTCCTTTGCTCAGAACCAGAGGCACAGACTCCACTCCAGGCAGCAGATCTTTAGAAACAGCTGGAGAATGGTGCCTTGTCCTGTCTGCCTTTGTCATTTCAGCGTGTGAGAGATGGGCAAATCTTTCTTTCTGCGTTTTTGGGAGAGGCAGAACAACATAGGATGAGTAGATAAGGTATCAAATACAGGAGTGGTGACTCACCTCACCAACTGCATCTTGCCGATGGCCTCACACCTTGTGAACTTTTAAAATTTATCTTTCAGTGTCTTACCATTAATTTGTCATGTTGGCAGGAAATGGCCAGCAAAGAACACTAAGTACTATTATGGGGTCACTGAGGCTGAAGAGAGAATGTAGAAAATAGCAATAAATATAAAACTGCTGGGCTGTCTCTAAACACCTAGCTGGATAAATGGTCACTGTGAATATGTTTGCTCGAAGAAATACAGGTATTCTGTTGGTGTTAAGCGACTTCAGCTTCAAAGAAGAGCCTAAGGCAAAATGGTATGTTTCATTGTAGATGAGGAGGAAATCGGTGTTCAAAGGATGTTGGCTGTTCTTGAACTGAACATTCTGACTCAGAGGAAATGTAGATGTATAGAGAGGAGCCCAGAGAAGATGGAAGCTATTCCTCTACCTGGATTCAGTAACACTTCCTGTTATGAAAACATGCCCAACTGTTTGTTTTCAGAAGATTTCAAATGTGGAAAAATGTCAGAGTCAAGGGTTTTCCTTGGATGTCCTCTGAAAGAGCTTGTGAAATGTGAGAAAACACCTTTTCAGGAATGTGAGTTACATGAGGACCATCCACAAGGCTTAATCTAAAGGAGAGGTAAAGATGATGTTTTCTGGAAAATTTACAGATAGAGGTATCTCTGTCTTGGTCTAGCAGACAACAGTGTTGTAAAGGAATCACTCAAATCTTCACTATGTCTTAGAAGGATAAATCTAAATTTTCTCATTTGAAGAAGGGCACAAGTAGTGTTTCTAGGTGGGCAAAAGTAGGTTGCAGCGATAGAAACAGCAACAAGCAAATGCAAAGCCAGTGTGTAAGGGTAACCCTAAAAATTGAAGGTGTTATGGGAGATGACAGTAAAGAGTTTTCATTATGATTGAATATTAATTAGTGACATGGCTATTAACGATGACAGTAATTAACAAAGGAAGGAAAGACTTGTCATTGTCCCAAGGGTGAGTAATCAGTCTTGGCAGGTGATAAATAATGGTTCAGCAAACTCAGCAGAAAGATAATCTGTCTGCCTCAGGACAACTGGAGAGCAGCTATAACATCTTCCAGGCTCTTGGCAGCATTCAGGAATGACTTCATGTTTTTAACAGAGACAAATTAGAATTCCTGATCTCAAGTGCTGCTTATATTCTGGAGTGGCTGATCACAGTAATTCTGATTGAATCAGTGCCTTCAGTTTACTTACCCCTTTAAACCTTTCCTGCCCATTTAAACCTTTCTTATGAAGGGTGAGAGACTGGGGAGCCATCGTTCAGCATTACTTGAATTTTTCATTGTTGTTTGATGGAAATTGAATAGCTTCCTCAGAAGTGTCCTAGAGCTGGGGACATGATCATTCTACGTAAAAATGGAGTGAACTTAGTCCTAAGTCAGGAACTAAGTGTTCCTGCACATCTGGAAAGGGGTCATGCAGAAAGCCCTTCACCTCCTGTGAGCAAAGCAATGCAATATTGTAGATGATTGTCAGGTATCAGCTCTCACATTGCTTGGGAGTACAGTGTCTAAGGGATCACTGCAAGCCGGTAACCAGAGGCCAAAATCAGGAGAAACAGTGGATTTTTTTTGTTTGGGGGATGAACTGAAAAACCAAGAAAGATTCTGGTTTCACTTGAACTGAGACAGCATTTTGTGAGATTTTTTGTTTCTGACAATACAGAAGCACTGCAGTCTGAATCTTCTTGAAATAGAGTTCTAACTATAAATGTTGTGCTCTTTCTTCAAAATATTTTGTTTTTGTAAAAGGGAGCACCCATATTTATAAAATAGAGCATTTTATTAGCAAACTTGTCAAAACAACATGGCTCTGAACATATTCCCCATATGTTATTCAGCTAACAGTGTTTACTAGATACCTTCTCATTTAATTTTGCACCCCTTGTGCGTATTTTTCTGAATAAATTTATTGTTCAAAAAATGACATGACCGCAGGATGCATCTGGCAAGGTAGTTCTAGTAGAGAAAAGCAAGTGCTGGCACCATTACCAAAGGCATTGGTTTGCTGTTTTGCGAGGAACCAACGGCGGTTTTGGTGAGCTCAGTGCAAAGAAGTTGATTTAAATTTGAGAAGTTGCTGAATGTTAAATTATAGGGAGAGACCACCTTAAGAGGACATAGGAAGAGTAGGGTTGGTTTAATGAGATGGAGGCAGGGAGACAAAGTGTCAGCCCTCTATAGAAGCACTCAGGAGAAACTGTCAAGGAAGAACAATCATTATTTTCCTTCAATAATAATACAGTTATAAAATGCATCTAAATTGCATATTAACAAACTTAGGTTGTGAAGTTACAGGAAGAGTTCAATCTATTAAAAAAAAATAAATTCTGGAATAACTTTCCAAATAGGATAGTGGCAACTGAAAATGCTCCTAGGTGAAGTTGGGAGGTGTGGAGAATGACTGTACTGCTGAGAATACAAGATGGTGAGATTGGTCATTTAGTATCTGGTTTACTGATACCTTCAAGGCAGGTTGAGACAATGCCCAGTTGCTGCTTGTTGATCACATCTGTTTGCCCAGTATTTCAGTGAAATCAGCTGCTTCCCTGATCTTCAAGAGCCCTGCTGATTCCCTGCAGGGGACAGGTCTGTTGTTTCACCTGCCTTGGGTGGGGAATGAGGTAGGTCAGGTCTATATTGCTGCCTGCTGCTGAAGCCTGACTGAAGAGGGTTTACTGGTGCTCTTTGTAGTGTTCTGGGTCAACTTCCATTGTCAGGGGAGTAGAAGCTGCTGTCCCCTTCTGTGTGGGATAGAGCTCACGTTTTTAATGGGAATTCCACCTGTACAGAAGAGTCGGACCTGCAGATAATTGCAGGGACCTGGGGCTCTAGCAGTGCCTCTTGTCTCTCCTTGTGGCACATTGTGACTCCTGGCCTTTATTATATTTAAGGTTTGCTGAGAGCATGGGGATGCTTTGGGCCCGTGGAAAGCAAAATGTTCTTCTGGATCAACAGTCGTGGTTATGCTGCTCCTTTCAGTCCCATCCATGTCTGAGCTCAGAAGTGCTCCACACAAATAAGGTCCTCTGGGGTTTGTTTTGCAAGCCTGAGCCATATTGGATGGGGCTTTGGGCAGCCTGTTCTAGTGGGTCGCATCCCTGCCCGTGGCAGGGGAGTTGAAACTGGATATATTTAGGTGCCTTCTAGCCCAAGCCAGTCTATTCTATGAAGTGTTACTGGGCCTATTGACCTACTGTATGTGAATGCAAATATTTCTGCAGAAACTGAAGGTGTGCTGAGAAGGGCTTGATGTTATATCTGCATCCAGACATTGTTATGCCAACATGGCATTGTTAGGTTGTGATGAATGCTGGTGTAACTTAGTGTGGGTTTGCCATATTGTATCCAAATGCCTTTGCTGATTGCCTTTGACTTTGGAGAGCTCCAGTTAGCTGACTTGTACACACCATTATGTTTAATTTTAAGCTTAACCTTATGAGTATGTGATTTAACTAAATTTTGCTGCCTTGTCACAATGTGTTTTGGTAGCAGACCTTTCTGTTGAACAGTGACAAGTTTCCCTCTTCTGTGATCTCCATGCAAGCAACAGAGGTTGTATACATGCAGAGGATCAGTCCTAGAGAATCTGATGTTCTTTGTAAGATGGCAACAACTTTCATTATACTTGATGGGCTCTGAAAACCTAATGAACTTCGTGATGGATCTTGAAGGCTCACTCTTCTCAGCCCCTGTTCAGTTTGTGTGATCACCACTAGGTGACTGCTCACAGGGGCTGTGGCTACAGGCACTCTGAATGCCACCTCCTTCTCAAAGATATTGCATGTCTTTGACATAACCAAGACCTTCCTGTCTGTTTTTAACTGGTATTTCAGTTCTATACATCCAGACATTACAGGTGGTGAGGAGCCAGTAAATGCTCCTTCATCTCCTTGCTAACCAGTGCTTGCAGAAACTTAACTCTGTATGCTGAGGTGAGAGAGAAGAAAATGGAAGAGAACACTTACAGGGAACCATTAGACTTATATCTGACTTCAGGTACATCAAGTCTCCTATTGCACAGAAAGCTCCAGGGGACTTAGTATTTGTCAGTAACCATGTAGCTGCAGAGTGGCACAAGAAGGAAAAACTTTCTGAAACCTCATTGGAAATAAAAAGCAAAATGGAATAATTTGTATCTATCTCAATGCTATCTCTCTCTAGGGCACTCAAACCCTGTGGTCCTGGTGTCTAATATTTCTTAAATTTTTTTTTCATTTGTTTGTTAAGGTTCTGATATTGTGCAGTGGCTTATGAAGAACCTCAGCATTGAGGATGCAGGTAAGGTGACCACGGCTGGGGAGAAATAGGTGCTCCATCTGTATTGTGTGTGCCATTGGACAGTAAATATATATTGCTGCAGTCTAAAATGCCAGTAAAAGAACGATTGATTTAAGCATTGGAGAGAAGGAGGAGGGAAAGTGTTGAGTCAGCATCTTAATTAAGTGTAATGACTTAGACTGCAACATACTGAAATACCATTGCAGGAATTTTAGCCTGTTTGTGAAACTGTTGCTACCTACAGAAGACTGATTGATTTTGGATTTTGTTCCTAGGCGTCAGAAAAGAAGCTGGTGGATGTGTGTGGCTAAGCAGGCAAATGCAGTGTCACGTTTTCATGGTGTGAAGAAACGTAGCCACAGCTGACAGGACATAGTGTCTGTGTCATTCCTGGCAAGGGTCATAAAATCTGGCAATGGTTTTTAATTTATCCAAAAGAGCAAATAGATAAATCAGCAGATAGATAAATGGATAATCAGCCATAAAGAGTGATTAGTGCATGGGCACAAATAGCTCACTCTTCAGAGAAACCAAAATAATTTAAGCAAGTGAAGACCTATTGAGAAAAAGGGAAGAAAAGATCTGCAGGTCCAGAAGTTTCTTTTCCTTTTCAGGAAAGGGAAAAAATCCAGAATATCACCTACCAGTTTTTAAGCTGCCCTTCTGTCACCATGTAAAAACAAGATAGAGGCAGTGTTGAATCACACAGCAGGGAATCCCTGTACACCCATACCTTCTCATAAGTCCTGTCAGGTCCCAAATGTGAATTTCAGCTTCAGACAACAGCTTTATTATCTATCTGGACATGCATGAGCAGATGATTTTTCAGCTCTGTGAAAGATGATGCAGCTTTTGACAGCTGGCATTGCTTGAAAATCCAGGCAGATGTGCCTCTGCACTGGGGAAGGTTGCCTGGGCAGCGCTAGGATATGTAACTCCCCTTTGCAACATTTTCTCTAACAAAGGGCAGTGCTGCAGTGTGAGGATGTGTCTTTATGAATAAATATCCTGCTAGTGAACCGGTGTTGCAGGTGCTTGTTGGATTTGGAGGAAGCAAGTGAGGTTCAGTGATGGAACAGGCTTCTTGTCAGCTGTCACCTGTGGTGGATAATGTACTTTGAAATGTATTCTGTACTATAGAGCTAAACTGGTGCATGTATTTTGTAAACAAAAAACTAACAGGTTAAACATTTGAGCAGTGCTTCACCTGTATTGTAAGGCTGATTTCTGCACTCCTGCTTTGAAGGGTTTGGTTGGAAGAAGTAGGGATGTGGTGTGGGTACAGAGAGGCATGTGGGCACCAGATTTCACATGAGTCATCACCAGAGCTGCAATTGAAAGCAGAGAAATGCACAGTGCATGTCTTGTTGACACATCCCTGCTGTTTTTTCTCTTTCACAGGGGAAGCAATACACTTGGGAAGTCTTATTGCTGCACAGGGTTATGTCTTTCCCATCTCGGACCATGTCCTTACCCTGAAAGATGACGGGACGTTCTATCGTTTTCAGGTTGGTGAGCACCTTCTTCTGCCCCTGCAGTGACACTGCTGAAATCACCCACTCTTTATACCTAAGCAGCCATTAGGTCTGTGAAGCCAGGGATTGAGGCTATCTTCATAGAAGCCTTAGGAAATTAAGAAGTCACTTCAAAAAAATTTGCTTTAGAATCCCAAATCACTCATCTACGTTCTGACTTAGTTTTTTACATAAATGAATGGCTATGGCTTGTGACAATTTTTGATACCTGAATTCACGGCTGTTTTACTCCAATTTGAACTAAACCAGGAGAAAGAAGATGGATTTCAGGTTCTAACTCTGAAGTAGAATTAAGTTACCATTCTCCTGTGCAAAATGGACCAGGGGCAAACTTAGGACCTGGGCATTCTAGCTTTGGCACAGCAGAAAATTCAAATTTTTATCTTCTCTTGCATACAGATTGGTGTGGGAGAGGGCAAGCTTGAGGCTTTGGCTCTTCTACAAAGGATGTGTAACCTTGGCAATCACCTAAACTGGGAGATCTCTGGGAACACCTCAGTGTTCCTGTGCCTCCAGATGTGCTGAATTTTTAAAGCACCCTGTGCTTGAGTTCCATGCCCTGTTCAAAATCTGCCACTGTCAACTTGCTAGATAACTGAGTGCTTGTACTGCAACAGCTCTTTCTGAACTGATTGTATAACTTTAGAAGAAGCAGTAAGTCCAAACTTGGAGTCCTACTGCCTCATCCTGCTGGTTGAATTTGTGTTTTTTCTGTTATGTGATTTCAGCCAGCTTCCTTATCTCTCCTGTCACCTCTCTTCTGTTCACCCTCCTGTTCCTTCTTTACATTTTTTTACTCTTTTTTAGTTTTTATTTGAAAAGCCAGTTCTGCTCTTTACATCTGATGTTGCAGCTGCTCAAGCCCACTGCTAATGTGGTGTTGTGTTATCATATGTGACCAGTGTCATGGTGGAAAAAGAAGCCCAGGAGATCACAGATGTCCTCTTATCTCACCCCACCTTCTGGTTGCAAGGCATCATTCAGACTCAGATTTTTCATTACAATTCCCTTTCTTTTCTGAAAGTCCTGAACCTCCTGTCGTGTAAGACACAACAGAAGCAGGGGTAATACTGATTGCCCATTTAGCTGTATTTTTCTCTGTTTTGAAAGAATGGCACTCTAAGAACTTGTCCTGTGCAGTTATCAGGAGCTACATTTCCATATAACTTAATTTCTTTTTATTGTTTTAAGCCTGTGTAAACCACATCATTGAACTGACTGCTTATTGACTTTTCTTTCCTTTGTCTTTTCTTACAATTTTTACATACTCTTTGCCTGCTTCCATTTTCTCCAACACACCTCCTTAGCTGTTCTCTGCAAAAATAACCTGAGAGAATCATGCTTCCTTTCCATTACTCTCCTCTTGCTACTTTTTACTTCAACATCAATTTCCTTTAACAGTAGCTCTTTATCTTCTGAAATTCATAAGATATGTATCAGTGAGGAGCATTGAATCCCATATTGTTTGAATCCTCCATGTTTTCTCACTGTACTTTGGTGGAAGGAATAATCTCTGTGTTAATGTCCTATGCCCATCTGTAGCATTGCATCAGTAAAGCAATGTGTAACCAGTAAAGCATCAGTATTCTGTAATTTGTGTGATCGCTGGGATGTTATTTTTCATTCATGTTAAAACTGAAATACAGTCACGTCTAGTTACAGCTTGTAATTAATTGTAGCAACTGCAATATGCAGACCTGGATAGAAAACAAAACCACTAAGTTTAGCAGGACTTCTGCTTTCCAAATGACTCTAAACAGCTGAGTTTTGACCTCTGCCGTCTGTTACAACTGAAAAGGAAATTGTTTTGTAGTCTGCCAACCACATTGGTATCTGCTCCAGAAAAGCAAGGGGTATGTAGCAGATAGATAAGACCGCAAGGTTTCTCATGTGCTTAAAAAAATAAAACTATTCAGGTTGGCTGTGAATTCCTGGGGAAAGAGGAGCTTCTGGGGATAGTGGATAAGAGGTCCACATTCAGATAAGCTGGCAACACTGTCTGAAATTTCATCAGAACACTGGACATCCTCCTCAAAAGGTGCTTGCATTACAGCGTCTCTATTTACCTGCAGTGAGGAATATTAAAGGTTTTTGCAGCATCCTCACTTTTACTGAAATCTGTAGCAGTGTTTCCCCTGAGGGCAGAATCTGGGTGCTAGATTTTGTGATTCTTCTTTTTGTACTTGTAATGTTTTTCTGCATCTGAATCAGTTTTCATCTCTTAATTACAAAAATGTGTATGTTTTTTCTTAGGCTCCATACTTTTGGCCTTCAAACTGCTGGGAACCAGAAAACACAGATTATGGTGAGACTATGATTGTTTCATTATAGAAAGTTAATTTGTGATGGAAAGAGTTGTCCTTAAAATAATTACTGTTGGCCATCTACACCCTTCATGTACAGAGTTTCTTTTCAGATGGCAACATGAGAGGCAGATCTGTGCCCATCTCAAACCCTGGGATGTCTCAAGTCCCCTGGAGCTGCAGCCATTGAGCTCAGTGGAGCCAGGGTTTTGCCATCCATTACCTTCATTCTCCCATAGCCCTGTTCATTTCAGCAGGATTTGTGGCAAGCAGAATACCTGTTCTTGGGAATCTTAAATAATATCAATATTGCTTTTGTGGGAGACTATCTTCTGATCTGTTGCTGAATCTGTTATGTGGATCAATAAAATTTACTTCACCTGGGCACTTATCTGAATGATCAATAAACCAGTACATAACTAACAGCAACCCAAAGTTAAAAGTTCTCTGATGCATGACATCAGACTTATTTTCCCATTTTTTTAAGATTACCAGATGATACAGTAAAAGAGAAGACTGAACATGGTTTATGAGTTAATAAAGTGCAACATGGTGTTTTAAACATGTGAGTGCCTGCAGACAGGGATAATACATAAAGAAAATATGTCAGTGTTGTTATCTTTAGCTGTCTGTGTGCAATATTGCTGTCTCTTCCAGAACTGCACTGCTTTCACAGTTAAATGATAAAATTAATTGTTGCATCCTGGTGCGGCTTTGGAAGAGGAAGTGTATCCATGTGTGCAGTCATAAAATGGGAGCTTCTGGAAGTCCTTTATCTTGTAACCTAAGACTGGTTTAGCACTCCTCCCTGAATAATCAGTTTGGGCTTTTTTTCCTTCCCGTCTAATAATTACTCATCATTACGGACTCTGGAAAGAATTGCTGGGGTGAAGAAGTAGCCTGGAATGGTGTGTGTCATGGGATTGTTCATTTGCAGTCCTCATCTGCACATGAGCTAGACTTACATGTTTATCCCAGTGAGGGAATGGTTAAGGAGAAAACACAATGCTGTTCTATATTTGCAGAAAAGATTTCTAGATTTTACAGTCATCCTATATTACTGTGTGAACTGTGCCGAATATGTATTCTGTAAATACCAGAAAAATAGTGTGAAGAGGGAAGTTCTGTTTTTTCCTGCAGTATCAGATAAATAATTGGTTTTGGCCGTCAGATTGTTGTGCTGCAATGGCATTGATTGGAGCAGTACACCCCAAAATAAAGCCTCTATGAGCTGACCCACAGCTGGACAAGCTTCAACTGCATTAGCTCTGAGCTCTGTAGTGACAGATTTTCATCTGTCCCAGAAACCTCTAACATATGCTTATAATCAGACTTTGCATATCAGAGGCCTGTACAGATGGAGTCTTCCCAGGAATTAATCCCAAACTAGCAGTAGACCCAAATAAAACTGAAATCCCAGCAGCACTTCATACCTTTTTTTTTATTTGCATGTGTCCACTTACAGGAGAGGAACTAACTTGCTAATGGCATTTCACTGCCTTGCATGAAAAAACACTGTGAGACAGCTGACTCTCACTTCATTTGGTGTCATAAGTGCCTTACAGAGAAAACTGCCCTTGAGATGCATAAACATAAATGAACTGGTCAGCTCTGGTTACAGTGCATAATACTGGCTCATTATATGCATGTTAAAATTACAGAAACAGCACAGAATAGAATTACATGAGTAGCACTGGGCCTCTATTGAAAGTTCAGACCTGACTGTACACCCCAGGTGTGCTGTGGACCTTGTGTTTCAGCCTCTAATGGAAATGGGGTGAGCTTAGCAGATCCAGGTGGGGCTTTCCCAGAAGGCAGCCTGGGACTGGTTTGGTGGTGTGTGCTGGGCTCATCTTGACCCTCAGAATCCCAAACCACATCAGTTTCAGCAGCCTCTGCCTATAGCAAAATGTGACAAGGCTTCTCTTAAATATTTGAAATATGTAAGAATAAGAGGATGGAGCATCTTAAAAAATGCTCAGGTCATGCTTTTAAGATCTGGCCCATATTTCTTTTCATGTCAATATCCTGATTTATTTTTATTTTTTTCTTAGCAGAAAATAAATGCAGGGATGATTGCTTTGGCATGCATATTCCCAAACTGCTTAGGGAAACAGGTTGCTAATGCTATATTTTTCACCAGACCCAGAAGCAATTGTGCCTTTCTTGGTCATCTTGTTAGGTCCTGGCATCTGCTGTCAGATGAGATGCCCCAGATGAGATGTCCCAGATGTTTAGGGCCTCTGAGATTAGTCATAAGCAATGTCAGCTGGGTGTCCAGACCTCTCATTCCTTGATTCGTGTTGCTGTCCGATGAAAACAGTCTATGGACTACTTTTTTTCCTCCTTTTCTTTTCTTTTTCTTTTTTTTTTTTTTTTTTTTTTTTTTTAAGACCTAGTACTAATAATCTGTCTGTAATTGTTTTCAATTCTGTTTCTCCCTTTAGCCATCTATCTTTGCAAACGGACCATGCAGAACAAAGCTAGGCTGGAGCTGGCGGATTATGAAGCCGTAGGTACACTGCTGCTAGAGTTTAAAGCTGGGGGGTGCAGAGATAGCTTTGCTTGCCAACTGAATGCTGCCATTTTGTGCTTTGGGGTCAGCCTTTACTGTATCTTCTTCTTAGTTGCCAGAACTGTGTGAAGGTTGATATGAAGACAGCATCAGGAACATGATTGATGAATGTCCCTGGCTTTGCAGTGTCCCACATTAAAGCATCTGCTGTATAATGAGCCCTTCAAGACTGAGGCAAATCACACTGAGGTTTAGCTTGGTGTGTCCTGTTTTCAGTTAGGAATTCCTGGTTTGTGTAGCAGATTTCAGCACAGGAAAATGATGGATTTTCAGGTGTGCCATTGTGCAATTAAATTGTTTATGACACATCTAGTTGCAAAAGTTCTCAGATATTAGACTTGGAACATTTTCAATATGCCATATGAAAAATATCACTGAACTTTCTTTAGAGCATGTTTTCTGATATGGAGTTACTATTAATAAAAATATCCCAAACTTTGGTGTCAGACTGCAGGGTGGAGAGGAGTAGACAGATGGAGGCAGGAGGGGCAGGGTATTACTTTGAATACCAGCAGTGTATCACTCTGAGCAGCTAAACTTTTCTTTCTATCATATTGACTTTCTTCTGTTTACTTGCTCAACAGTGTAATAGCAGAATTTTATACATGGAGTTTTTCATTGGAAGGTTTATTTACAAAGTTGGTTCTAGTTGACTTAGTGTGGTCACGTTTGTTACAATGAAAACATTTATGTTGCATATATTTGCATATATTTTACAGTGGGATTTGTTTGTTTTTTTCCAAGATTGAAGTTTTGCCTTCTTCCTTACCTTCTGCATTTGGAACATTTGTGCACGTGGAGAGACACGTTCATGCCATTTGGACCTTTCAGTGCAGAGCATGCAAAAATTGCCATTTATCTAGTCCACCCTAGAAATGCATTCCAACTTCCCAAGAGTTCTAATCTCATACAGGCACAAAGGAAGGAATATAACAACCTGCATGCACTTACATGTCTTTTTGCTGAGTTTCCTCTTCTGCATATTGTTGATTTTATTAGTAAAACCATTAAAATTGCTCACATCCAACCAATTAACTGCAAGTACTCCGAAGATCTATCATAAAGCAACAAAAGGCTGTTCAGCAGTGCACATACTCCCACACACATGCAGTGAGGCTGTGGCTAAGTACTTTTGCACATTGTTGCCTACTGAGAGTAGCAATGCTCCAGTGATGGTAAATAATTAGATCTTGGCAGTCTCTCATTTTCCTTGTGAATATTGCATTGCACAATTAGAGGTTACTTCTGCATTCAAACTTTGTTCTCTTAATTAGAGACGTTCAGATAAGAATGGCACCAAGTCTTCCTAAGCATTATGGGAGCTGAAGCAGGTCCAGCAAGGGATGTAAGCTCAGCACAAGTGAGAGAAACAGGCTTGCAGGAGTGAGAAGCAGCCTTTCTCACATTTTTGGAGATGCAGGATGAGAATGCTTCTCCATAGGAATCAGCAGTGACCTGGAGCTTCAAGAGAGGCTCTCTACAAAGCATCTCAAGGGACATTTCATTTTTAGGTTCTGCTTGCAGGATTTACAGGCAGTCCCCTCAGCCTGTTTATATTGATTAGAGCAGGGGTCTTGATGATATGATTAAGCTTGTATAGTTGCATTCAGGTTTTTTATAATTGGTCAAACATAAGCACAATTCAAATACAGCTTCATCTGGTGATGTTTCATTGGCTTTAGCATATTTACTCCAGAGGGCACATGTGAACATAATTTAAAACAAAATAAAAATAATGAAAAAAAACCCACAAAAATTTGTGTTACAGATAATTACAAGTTGTTCTACTTTGTAGCCACAGTTAAGGAAATCATCGCAGTTCAGTACAGCTGTAAATCATTTGTTTAACTGTTTTCCACCATGTGTACAGACTGAAACTGTTACATGGACGTGGTGGTAACAGGGCCAAGCTTTATGCCTTGTGTTATACAAGAGTTTAAAGTCAATGATAGGAAGATTTCTTCTTGCATTTAAATGCATGTCCCTGAAAATGTTTCTTGAAATAAAGGTAATAAGTATAAAGAGAACAAGAGTAGAACTACAAGTGTTTGTTTTCACTGTAAATTTGAAACAGTTGAACCAGCTGTAATGGAGAAGAACATCCTGTTAATTGTGACACAGGCCTCTTTTCTTGGGGAGGGTATGGATATGTAACTTCAGGGTACTATTTAAGCCTGAAATTCCAGCCATATTCTGAGTTTAACCTCGAGCTGAGATGATGCCACATCCACATCCAAACGTTCAGATCACTGCACTCTGTAATGGGTCTGGACCAGAGCTCTTACTTCAGATGTAGAGCAAAACTGCATCTGGAGCCATTCTTTGCAGTAACCGTGTTCATTGTTCAGACAAACAAGCTATTTCCTTTTGTGAATCATCCTGGCAATCCCCAGCCTTCAGTACTATGCAGCTGCATAATGCTCTCAGCAGTGACCAGGACTGAGCAAAGCAGGGGATGCTCAGGCTTTGCACCTTCACAAAAGCCTGAAGAGAAAAGAACAGTGCAGAGAGGAAAGGAAAGTGAGGATGAGAGGGAAACGTGCAGCTGGCAGCCATCTGCTCTCAGAAATGAAAGTCATCAGCTTCACAAAGCTTCTCAGTGTTATCTTTTGGGAACAAGTCCATAATTTTTTTCATACTAGAGCTCAAGCTGTCTTCATCACACTCCATTACTTATCCCTGGCAAGGCCCTTCGGGTTGCAGCCCAAAAAAGATGTGTTACAGCCTTGCTTTCCCTGCAATATAGTTCACCTGAAACCAATACCAACTGCCATGTCTTTAGTTTCTCAGTTAAAAAAAAAAAAAAGGAATAAAATAAATACCCACCATGCTAAATGTGCTCTCAAGCAATTGTTGTAGTTACAGAAATTAGTTGTTCTTACTATTTTCATCTTTTGACAGGAAAACTTAGCAAGGCTTCAGAGAGCGTTTGCAAGAAAGTGGGAATTCATCTTCATGCAAGCAGAGGCCCAAGTGAAGTGAGTAATCCTGGAGCACTGAATTGCACCAGTATTTAGAGTTGTGAAGGGAAGGGGATTCTGAACAGATAAAACTTCTTTGTCAAAATTTTTACTGTGACTAAGCTCAGAAGGTGTTGGTGAATTTTAATCGCTGGCAGACTAGAAACAGTAGAGAGCCAATTCTGAGGGTCTGTGCCAGAAACTGAAAGATGGGTTTAATTATCTGTACATGGAAATGCTGGTCCGGAGCTCCTAAGCCTGGATTCACCATGGGACCTTGGGTAATTCACAAGTCCATTGTTCTTCTACATTTGTGTAGTATTTTTGTTTTGTATAAATGGAAAGAACAGAATTTTGTCATCTCTCTATGTTACTCTATGCTTGCACAGTATTTCTGAGTCTAGAAATACTGTCACTTCCATGTGATTATAAGAGTGGTGTTTACAACAGGTATTTCTTCTCATCTTCCCTTGTGAAAGCAGTATGAAGCCTCTTAATGTTTTGAGTGTGCTTTCATTACTGCTGGTAAATGGATATGGTCCAGGGTTTGTGTACAGTTGTCTACAAATTAATACCTAAGACTTTGAGTGTCCGTTTTGTGCATGTCATTGTCACTTATAAAATGGAAAGGTTGGTGAAGATGACACGTGGGAACATCATGAAATGGTTTCATTGGAAGGAATTTGCACTTTCAGCATTAGATGCTAAAAAGTTAAGGAATATCATTTCTTGAAGGTGCAGCTTGAGGTATATGTCTCTGTCTTTGATTAACCCTTTGGAATTTTGATGAATTCTTTGCTTAATAACATGGCAATTATGTACCATTTAAATATATGATAATTATATTTTAAATTGCAAGGTAATTAAAGGATTTTTTCCAACCAGAATAGCAGTGTTCTGTTTGGAAGAGAAAATTAGAACTTAGGATAGTAATTGTACTTTCAGTTACTTAAAGGCTATTGCCAAGACAAAAAAAAAGTGTAAGTCAAAACAAAAGTCTGCATTCTGTCTAAAACATATAATTATCACCTAAGAAAGAAATGTAAACATCAGACTCATTGTGATCAGTGCTGGTTATTAATCTTTTCACACTTTTCTTTGAAGTATAATCATGAACTGGCCACTATAAACTTTTTTTGCTGGCTAGTTTCAGCTTCTTGGTTCACCGTTCATGTGATGGTTCAGTCTTCAGGTTTCCAGAAAGACAGAGATAGAATTAATGTTGTAATTCACAGTTAACTAAAAATTGAAGTTAACTAGAAAAAGGGGGGCGGAATTAAAAATACCTGAAAACATTCCTCCTACTTACCAAGTTTTGCTTTGTTTTCCACATTTTTGTTTGCACACAGGATTCCCATTGCTATGCCCACATTGCTTCGAAAACTGCAGCCATAGAGTATCCAGATGATTTGGGTCTTCATAGTTTAAAATGTGAAATACTGAGTTTTCAGTAAGTTTAGAGATAGGAGACAACAGTCTGGGTTCAGTGAAGAGAATTCATGGAGCCTCCAAAGAGTCCCTCCAACCTGTGTGTGCTTTGTGGTGTAAGACTGGAGTAGGCTTCACCTTCCCCTTTGGCCAGGCGTGAGGACTCTCTCAGAAAAGTAGTTTTGGGCTGGGTGTCCTGAGTGCAGTACAGCAGTTGCTCTGGCTTTGTGTGGGGACAGAGCTTGTGACAGAGCTGGTTTCCCATTTCAGCCTTGCAAGGGGGAAATTCAGCTAGTGATACCAAACAGTGGAGAATTTGGTCTTTTTCTGGGGAGGGGTGCTCAGAAACTTCAGTTTTAGTCCCCTGATTCCTATCCTCTTAGTACATTTCTAGCACAGACTTAGCTAAGCCCCTCAAAAACAAAAACAGATGGGAGAGAACCTGGTGGTCAGAAATCACAGCTGGAGTGGGGTTTTTTCCCTCACTGCTTTGATTTTCCTGGTGGCAGTAATGTGCTAATATTCAGCCCTGCTCTGGAAGTGGAGGTGTGGAGGCTGTTCCTCCTACCATGTGCTTCCTCCAGTCCCTGTGCAAGTAGATCTTGCAAGCTGGTGCTGACTTTGTGCTTATGTGTAAAGCTGGGTGGGATGCCCGATGTCACCTGCTCACTGCTGCCAGGAATTGCTTTGAACGACCTCTGGTGGCCTTTGGGCTGTGTGCTTTGAGTGAGTTGGTTCACTGGCTGCATCAGGGCTGGAATTACTGAGTTCCTGTTGTTCCAGCCCAGTCATGTCTCTCTGGAGTGGGCGCTGGTTTGTAGGGGTCACACAGCAAGCTCAGCTTTGGTCACCTGTGCTGTCACCCTTTGCTCTGCCAGCTTGGGGGCACACAGGCAGAGAGAGTCTTTGGGTTGAAAGCTCTATGGAGGAGTGACCACAACTGCTGCCCATGCTGTTGTTGAATGTCTGGGATAGATGCTCCTTTGCAATCTGTATTCATGCCAGTGGTGCTGCTGGGGCATTGGGGTGCAATGGGGTCTCCTAATGGGAGTTCAGTTCAGCACCAGCCAGGGGCCTCACCTGGAGCAAACAGGTCCTGGTGGGTCTCCTGACACAGATGAAACTACAGAGTTTCCCAGCCTGTCAAATCAGAGTATTGGAACATGGTACCAGGAAAAGTTTTCTTCACCAGATGAAAAACAACTGTTAATTTTTTCCGCATTAATAGGAAAATTTCTTTTGACCCATGTTGGAGTAAACATCAGTGTTATTTTGTTAATGGTATGTGCCCTTGCCAAGTGCAAGTGTGACATTGCTGTACAAAAAACCTTGATTTCTGAAATTTTTTGTCTTGGGGTTAAGAACTGCAGCTAGGAACTGTATCAAAGAAGAAAGAATGACTTGTACATTGACTCATACTCACTTATGCTTTTGTTTTCAGAATCGACAGGAAAAAGGATAAAACAGAAAGAAAGATTTTGGACAGCCAGGAAAGAGCATTCTGGGATGTGCACAGGCCTGTGGTAAAACTATTTTTGAATGATGAAACTTTCCAGGTTTTGACAGGAAAAATTTTATTACTAGTAAATGTTGTATGCACAAAGACATTGCCTTTACAGTCACCACATTCTCCTCACAGCTCAAAATGCACCAAGTATCTACAAGATTATTCTGGGCTTGTGTACCTATGGAACTACTGACTTGGAAATACGTGAAAATATGAACTCTGGAAAATTATTTACTGGATTTATGAAAAAAAGCAACTTACTCAGTTTGTCTCAGACTTCCTAGCAAAAACTCCCCCCTGTTAGCTATTTCTTTTTGGTGCCAAAGTTAGGAGTAACTGGATTGAATGCTGATATGGCATCCTTGGACATATGCAGTCTCTTGTTTAGCAAGAGTAATTTATGGGACAAAAATCTCAAGAAAGAGTTTTGCACAAGATTAAATCATCTATTTTATGAAGGAAAGGTAGGCTGAAGATTCTTAACAGAGGAATAATATGATTACCATTTCTTTTCAGCCAGGCTGTGTGAACACCACAGAAATGGACATTAGAAAGTGTCGCCGTATGAAAAACCCACAAAAAGTGAAAAAGGTCAGTTTGAGTTCCTGGGTTTTGTTTTTGCTTGTTTGGAGTCGGTTTGCTTCACTGTTTTTGTTTTCTTTTAATGTAAATCATACTTGACACCTACTGTATATGAGACTTACCCAAGAGGAACAACAAAAATATTTTGATAGTACAAATTCTGTTTTGTTCTCCTTGGTGAATTTATTATTTCTATATTACCAGCAAAGTTGTACTGACTGTGTGATGGGTAGAGCTGAGAAGGTCATTAAGGAGCTTGGTGTCACTAATGTCTGATGACTCCTCACTCCCATAAAATTGAAGGGAATTGGCAAAAATACTTAGGTCCCCTTTTAAGAAATTATCTGGGGAGAAATAATGAGATGTTTACCTGCCTTAATAATTTCAAAGGCTGGATCATTAGCAATTTGGGTGTCTTTGACTTCCAGCAAGTTTGAGCCCTTCTATGTATATGAAATCATAGAATATATTAGATTGAAGAAAACCATTAAGATCAGTGACTTAAAACCTTAACCTAACCAAGTCCTTCACTAAACCATGTTCCCATCTTTTAAATAATTTCAAGGATGGTGACTCAACAACTACTCTGGGCAGCCTTGTTCCAGTGCTTCATAACCATTTGAGAGAAGAAATTTTTCCTAATGTCTAAACCTCTCTTGGCACAGCTTCAGGCTGTTTCTTGTTGTTTCATCACTCGTTATGTTTTTGGACGGAACACTGGACTCCTAACTTCCACAAGTAGTTAAACTGCAGCAGAGCTGTTCACGTATCTATTAGAAGTTTTACTGAAAAGCAAAAGCACTGAATAAAAGGACAAATGGTATTACTTTCAGTGCAGGTGTCTGTCCTGAAAATGAATGGCTACAAGTCAGTCTGCAGGTTTTTGTTTAGAGAAGTTCAGGTGAACTTGACCCATTGACTTGACCTGGTTAGGGACTTTCTTCAATATATAGTTTTACACCAAGAAATTAAAATCAAGTAAAGATTGCAGCATAGAATTAGGATTTAGTATTTTATTTTACCACTTGGCTCACCCCAGTGACAGCTCCCAGTGTTCATCCTGCAAGTGTTAATGCACACAGCCTTCAGAGCTCTTAAAAATTATCAGCTGCATTTTAACATTTAAAACAAACTCTTCTCTTAACATGCCTACAGGCCTTCCAAGTGCAGGCATCAGCAAGCACGGTGTGATCTGTAAATTTCACTCCAGGCTGAATGATTATTGACCTGTGTGGGTATAAACAGTAGGAAATTGCTGGCTTGTTACCTTACGGCTTTGCATGCTGTCCTGTTCCTCATTGCATAACAGAACAATGCTGTAATCCCTTCTGTTTGTTCCTTGGTTCCTCACAGTCGGTGTATGGGGTTACAGAGGAGTCCCAGCCCCAAAGCCCTGTACACCTGCCCTCCCAACCGGTGCGCAAAACGACAAAAGAGGATTTCCGGAAGCAAGTAGGTGGCTGTGTGGTAACTCTTCTGAGAACAGCAGCAGAAAAAAGCATAGAAAATTATTGAGATATCAGCAAAACCAATTGTATGTTTTACCTGTCCTTGATCCTCACATATTTATCCTTGATCCTCACTTATGTAAAGTATTAGTAAGTGTTCATTGAGCAGTGCAATTGTACGGTGATATGTATTATGAGTAACACTGACCTTTGAATCTACTGTTATTGTCTGTGGACCAGACACAGACAATATGACAATAATTCCAGTTCATTGAGGATGTCTGAAAAGTCAGCAGCGACAAGGGCCAGTGTAGCTGGGCACAGGCTGGGGATGAGTGGAGAGGAAAGGCATCATTCAGTGCATGACTGTTAGACTGTACAGTCAGAGCTTTTAGAGAAGTAGGAAAATATTATTTGGACAATCATGCCAAGGAATGACCAGCCAACTCGCACATCCTTGCTCTGGCACAAAGAGATCTCCCTCAAAATCACTTTCCTGCAACATGTAGCCCTCACTGAAAAACAGGAATCACTAGATCAGAATTTTACTAAAGGCAGCTTTAAACAAGTTTCTTAGGCGACCAGTTTTTGTGTGGTCTTCTGAACTAAACCTGGAAGCTACATTTCTTGAGCTTTTTTATCATAGGCTGAAGAACTGGTTCACAGCAGAATGAAAGTGTGCTGTAAAATGTTACTGGTCCTGTGATGCCAGTCAGTAAGAGAAATGGGAGAGCAGAGCGTGTTTGTAAAAAGGAGATCATATTGTACCCTGAGTAGTCTTAGGAACCTTGGCCTCAAATATGTGTCTTTTCTATTTTCAATTATGTCTTCTGAAGCTTCCCCTAGGGCTTTGCCTTTGGCAATGGAGCCTCCTCTTGGAAGCAGTTAATAAGCTTCTGATACCTAGGGAAGGGTCCCATTTCCTTCTGAGCTACTTTCGAGCTGTTTGGAAAGAGAAATCAATAGTGTGTTGGGATTTTGTCAATGCATGCTGCAGAACTCATAGATTGTTAATGTCCTTGTCATCTCTCTCCTCAGATAACTTTTCTGAACATGCAGATAGAGAGACATTGTTTAAAGATGTCCAAAGTAGCAGAAAGGTGAGTGTCCTCATTTTGATGATTTCCCATTCTTTCCTCATCTCCAATTTGGCATTTCTAGAAACAGAGCAGACAGCAAAATATAAAGGCTTCACTCCTTTTCTGTGCATCAATCCTGTCCCCTCCTTGACCAGCTGTGCTGCCTGTGTGCTGGCTGCTGACACTTCTGTACTCACTCTTCTGCCACTGAGCAAAAATAAGTGGAAAATGAGGACCTGTAATACTGCAAAAGAAAATAAGCATTCACAAAAGAAAAAACCCTTGTGGGACTTGTTTCCTACTCCTTCACTGCCCAGGGTTTATTTTTAGAAAAGTCATCCCTGTCTCAATTTGAAAATACTCTTTTCTTCCCTTTTTGGCTGAACTCTCAGTGCTCATTTCTTGTTAGTTTGGCACAGCTCTGGGGAAGGAGCTGTCTTTGCATTTGTTACACATGGTTTTCACATCTCTGTTCATACTGGGGTTGTAGGACCAGTTCCTGCTGCCACTTACATGTGAAACCCTTAGAGAAGTACTAGGGTTGTCCCTGGACTACTCAAGGCAGTGTTTTAAGGAGTGGATTTCTAAGAAGCAAATCAAGGCACAATTTGACTTGCAGAATATTTAGTTTTGGTAGAAATGTATGAATTGGTGAAGAACAAGTTCAAATTTAATTGTGTATGACAGCTTATTTACTTGGGTACTTGTAAGTTATACACGTTTGCAGAGTAGTCACTGAGATGAAGGTAGAGATAGCCATGCTCTTCAGTGACATCACTTTTAAAGCAAAACTGTGTTGAGCATGAAGGATGGGATAAGGCTGGCTCCTTCTAGAGAATTAATAAAGGAATTTTTATTTAAGCAAAGTAAAACAGGATTACCATATGGAATGTGCTTTGCAGTGCCTGCACCTGTAGTTAGCTGCATGTACTAAACTAGGTAAATTAAATGGTGGGAGGCCCAATGTAAGTTCCTATTGGCTCATGAAGTTTAGCAATTAAAATGAAAATGTATCCAATTAAAAGAAGTATTCAGAGGCTCCCTGAAATCCTGCATGCAATACATTGCATGATTGAAATGAGCACATTTATATTTATGTTTTGGGGGGTTGGATCTTTTTAATTAAGAACATGTACTTTAACAAAAAGAGTCATTGTACTGAATTTATTTACAATGCCCTTAATATACTGAGACAGTAATAATTTTCCTGGTTTGAAAGGACTTTCTTTTTTTTCTTTTTTAATTGCTCTCAAGTTGGAGAAGAAAATGTTGCTATCAAAACCTGTGCAAAATAATAGCTAGGAGAAAAGCAAATAAAATGAGAACAGTCAAATTACAGAATCACAGAATGAGCTGAATTGGAGGGGACCCACCAGGATCATCAAGTCCAACCCCTGGTCCTGCTCAGGAGACCCCAGGAATCTCACATTGTGCCTGAGAGCATTGGCCAAACACTTCCTGAACTCTGGCAGGATTAGTGCTATGACTGCTTCCCTGGGGAGGCTGTTCCAGAGCCCAAGCACCCTCTGGGTGAAGAACCTTATATTTCTAAATAATTATTAATAATTATAAAGAATGAAAATGGTGGTTGTGATCTTTACATCCTGTGAGGAGGTCATGTGATAACTTTGAATATTGATTTGAATATTGGCAATATTGATTAAGAGTCCCAGGACTTGGTGTGGAGATTGGTAGGAAATTCAGCCTGGATGTGGAGCACTGCAGAACAATTAGGAGGGAAGTAGAGGAGCTGATGGGTCCAGTGGCTTTGCAGGAGTGGGGACTGGTGAGGAGGAATGAACTTGGAGACCTGACTTGGACAATTTCCTGACAAAAAACCCTGTGCAGCCTTGAAAGCCCCGTTAAAACACTGATTACAGGCACTAGGAACAAATCTGCTGTGTAGGATATGCTGTGATTATCAAGTCAATTTTTAGGCTGGACCCACTCTCGGAACAGTTTAGGTGACAGTGGCAGATCAGGGTGCAGGAGATGACTTCTTGGCACGCTCCCTTCAACAGTCAAGCCTGACAGTGGCACCACCTGCCAGTTTTTCAGTATAGCACAAAGGCACTTCCAGGGAGGATGAGGGAAGTAACAAGGAGCAAATAAGTCAGGAAGCACTAGGGCAAACAAGTTATAGGAATAAGATACAAATTGTTTCGATAGTAATAGATCAATTGTATTTATTTTGCATTAATTCACACTACTCTTGGGACAGCCCTTGTCTGTCAGAAGAGGAAGGCATTCCAAAGGATATCTCCAACTTCTGTGAGATAAATGCTCGTTGCTAAAGATTTTCTTCCCCTTCCTCCCTGTTCTGCTTCCAGGAGTAGATCTGTACCAACTGTGGGAACAGGCATCCCTCAAATGCTCCATGCACCATGGAAACTGTCTTTCTTCCACATCCTTTCTCCCCACTTGGGACCTGTGCACTGCCAGTTTTAGCCATTGAGCTTTGAGAAGTGTTGAGCAAAGCTATCAATATATTCTACCTATTGTTTTCCCTGACTGCATTGTGCAGTGTTAGTACAATTTCATTTGACACAGCATCACCAAAATGGCTGGGGAAAAATGAGCATCTTCCTACCAGAAGCAATCTCAGTTCCCTAGATGAAAATCTGTGCTATCCTTTCAGCTTCTCATCAAAGTTCCTGAGAAGGCTCAGCAGGCCCCCTTGATTGAGCAACACTTGGGTTCTCAAGGCGAGCTCTGCACCCTTCAGTCGACTGTTCCCACCACCTCTTCTACCGGGTATTCAGTTTATCACCTAAAAGGCCAGGTTTGCATTTTGACAAAAATGCTTTTCCTTAGGAGTCCCCTGCCTCTAGCCTCCTTTAGACAATGAAGCAATGATTCTGCTGCTACCATTATACTGAATCAGCAAAACGTGCTTAGAAATTCCCCCTTGTTTCATTTTAGTTTTTTCCCCCTTCCCTTTTTGCTAGTACTTGTACTAGAACTTCTGATGCCGTCTTATTATTTTATTAGGAGCAATTCAGATTTCACAGCAGATATCTCCTGATTGATCCTTTTTGGCTTTCTTTTCTTTTTTAACCAAGCCTCTCTTTCATTGATGTCTAAGAGACTGCTGCTGCTCTGTGAAATTGGACGCTGCTCCCTCCTCCAACCCTTGACCCACAGCAGTCATGAAATGTAATTAATGAAATGAGATGAGACAGCCCTGAGTGCCCTAAGGGGCAATGGGAACCTGCTGTGGTTACAAAACTGTATGATTTTAATGCCTCATGATAAGAGCTAGGACAAACAAAAAGAAATAATTATTAGAGAGCAGGTCAGGGAAACTTTCTGCCTTTTATGACCCTTTATTTCACGGGGTCTTTTCATTCGCCTGCCTTTTTGAGATGTGGAGGACCAGAGGTAAAGTTTAGCATGGACAATCTCTGTGCAAGTACACTGGTTGTTCAGTATGAAGAGACATAATTAACTTAGTTAATTACTTGGCAGACATAGGCAAAAAAAGAAAGTGCCTTAGAGTATTTCCAGTATAGACTAGAAGAAATTTCTTTTAATTTATTTCATATTTGCTGTCTTTCTTTTGTCAAAATGCGTCCCTAGCCCTAACCCTAGTGGAATTCCTAAATCATGTAATGCAAGCAGACACAGTCCTTTTCCCAGAAAGCTCTTTGAATCTCATCCTAGCGAGGATTAGAGGCTATATGCCTTAACTGACTCACCATGAAGCAAACCAGTCTAAAGGCCAGGTGTTTCACCAACATGCATATAGTTTACTATAGTCTAAGTTAATTATTACTGTTGAAGTATTTTACAATAGTGCCGTTAGACTAGGTACTATACCAACATAAGTAAAAAATTATCTGTAGGCCAAGTTTTGGTGCTTAGGACTAGGATCCTTCAAAGATTTAAGCATATTCTTAGCTGCAGCCCATGACCCTGTTTGGGTGAGTGCATAAATTTATGCAGGTGCAAAAGTTTGCAAAAGCAATAGTAACATGCAACAAATGACCAGGATGATACACACTTCATATTCTTCCCATGACTCTATGGGGGAAGTCCTGCCATAGCAATCCAGTTGTTGCCTCATCAGGTTTTTTGGGAGCATCTCAATGGAGACAAGAGTGAGGAAAATGCTGCTGTTGAGGAAAATACTGCAGTGAGCTGGTGGGTGTTTGCAGAGAAATCCTTGCATGCATCATCCTTGGGAAAAGGATCCCCTGTGGCTGCTGAGAAACTGACTAATCCCTATAAATAAAAAGAAGCACACACAAAACCAAAACAAAAAAAAACAAACAAAAAACCACCAGAAAAAGCCTACCCAACAGGATAAAAAGAAAAGCTGTACCTCTCTGACATGTGACTGAGCATTCAAACCCTTTCTTATTTTTTTTTCCTTTATTTTTTTACCTGCCAGTTTAATAGCCTACACAGAGCAGTATGTGGAATATGACCCCTTTATAACTCCTGCTGAGCCTTCCAATCCCTGGATAAGTGATGATGCAGCATTGTGGGACATTGAAATGAGGTAAAAAATAATTGGTAGTTTTAACCAATGTGAGAGTTGTCTTGCCATTTTGTTTGTATGCTCTTCACACTGCCCTGTTTGCAAAGGAAGTTTTATGTCTGTACCACAAGATTCAAGAACACAGCTAAAGTTTATCACTGGTGTCTGTGAATTATTCAGTCCTTCCACTTCCATATGGCTTGATGTATGGGACTCTCTAAGTCAGGTAATGGATGTTCTCATACCTGTGGAGCACATGCACAGACTCATGTCTAGGAGCCTAAAGCTATAGGATACTTCTAAGACAAACTTGTTCCAGCACATCTCATTTGACCCTTGGGAGCCTACTCTTCCCCAGCTGCAGTGTTCCAGCCCTGCTCCTGTCGTGGAATCCCATGAAAGATGCTGCTGGCAAAATGGGATGAGTTATAGAGTAGTGCCCATTCCTGCTGTGCAGAGTGAGTTTGGCACAGGAGCCAGAAGAATGTAGCTCACATGTGACGTGTGAGACTTGGCAGGTCAGAATTGTAATAGGTTGACAGAGTGAGTTTAAGCCTCACCTGTTGGTGAACAAGCTGACTTGTCTCTGTTGTGGTGTCAAATAGATGAAAAGAGAGAGGAATGTATGTAGGATATTCAACCTCAGAGGGTTTCTAAAAAAAAAAAACTAGAACAAGCAGAACACTGCAACAGAGATCATGTTTTGCCCATGTGATGCTGGTGCAAGGGAAGCCTGGTCTGTGTCTGTGTCTCTTGCCTTCACAGGCTATCCACAATCCTCCCAAAGTGGCTAGAATTGTCCTGCCTGCCACTATGCCTAACAGCTCCCACAGCAAATTTGGATGGAATTTCCATGCCCCATATCACCTTCACTACTCAATCATGTCCTGTGGCCAACAACTGCAAGGGCTCAGCCATTTCTTCGCTGTGTTTAGTTGCTGCCATTTGGCACCAAATCTGAACTTGGAGTTCACTTTAGCAAATCTTTGTAAGAGAATCTCAGATGCTATTGGCCTGAGAAAACTGATTCATAGGGAATCAGTGTTCCAGGAAAAGACCAAGATTTTGCCCCATTTAAAAATCAAGTCGTTTGGGATGTGAAAGTTGTTTTCACCTGCTTCTCTGGTAGTCACAGCAATCCACTGTTTTCCTAACTTCTGCCCCTCTTCATATAATTTTAGGATTTCTTTTTTAGCTAGTTTCTCTCATTTTCTCCATCCTCTCTAGTAGGGCTAGTACCAGATAGAGCCCTTGCAAAATACTGCTCTGCAGAAACTCTCACCCACAAGGTAATCCAGGCATCCGTTATTTCTGCATCTGTTGATGTAGCTGCAAATCCCAGAAAAGATGTCTGTGTCCCTGAAGAATACAATTAACCTGATGTCACAGCCTTATAGGAATTTAAAATAAATGCTTGGCTTCTGCTATGATTTCAGAATTAAGGAAGGTGATTTTCCTGCAGATGAAAAAGAGAAAGCTGTAGTGTGGGGAGATGGAAGAACAAACAGCTCTGTATTTCCATTTTATTCTCTATTGTAAAAAAACTAACTGCATCTGCATCTAGTTGCAACTTGCATGAATAATTAAATGATCCCCAAGATCCCCTTGTGTTGCCTGCAAAGCTGTTTCCTCGGTTAGGAGGGCAGAGCCCTTGTGCAGGAAAACAAAGAGCCTCTCACTGCTAGTGGCAAGGCTGGCTGATTATGGGCAGCCCCGTGCCACCACAGTTCATCCTCCATGGCAATCAGGACTCGGGAAATGCCACGGAAAGCATTCCATTTTAGACAGCACTTTGGCCTTTTTGTGTGTGTGTGCTAGAGCACTGTGTAGCTGCAAGAAGAGCAGGTACAGATCTCTGGATACAGCAGGAAATTCCCTGAGCTTAGATTGTGCATGGCTCTGCACAAGCATGGCTTTGGTGTCCCGATGTCCGGGCTGGCTCACCTAGCAGCTAGGCTGGATCTGCACCCTTGTCTGCAGCACTGCTGGCTCCTGAGGGAGCACAGGAGGAGCCATCCCGATGTGCTGCTCCTCGAGTGAGGACATGCCTATCAATTTTGCTTAGCCTTTACACCAAGAGAAAATGAGAGCAGGCATTTTATTTACCCCTTTGGCTTATTTGTCTTCAGCACAGATCGCCACTGTCCCCTAAGGCTTCGTGATTAGGAATCGCTGTGGACATGACGAGACACACAGTTTAATAGATATGTACTGTTAACAATGGCTCTGCTGTCACAAATGCGAGCAGCTGAGCTGTGTTTTAGTGGTTGTCTCGTAGTATGACGCCATCACACCAGAAGCTTTCAAACACTTTGTGAGCCCAGATTACGCTCTGATGCAGGCTGTCTCATAGGATCCTCGTTGTGGTTCCCGGGCACCACCTCTCCCCATAGGCATCTCTGCAACATGTCTGACAATTCAAACAACAGCTTATGTAAGTTGGGCTGTGTTAAGAAATAATTAGGAGAAAGGTTGCTAGTGATTTTGGGTGCCTCTGCATCTCAGAATCCCAGCTGAGACACAAAATGAAAGTCTGATTATCATGGAGAGTAAGAGGAAGATGCTTTTTAGTCTTCTGAGACTTAGGCATGTAAAAATCAGAGTCACCAAAAAATAAAAGACCACAAACCAGTAATCATTTTAGATACTTTGTCTGCACTGCTTCTTAGTGGAACTGCTTTTGTAATGCAAATGTGAATCTGAAAATCTGAAGCCAGTTCCAAGTGACCAGGCAGCATTGTGTGGGACACAAGGAAATGCTCTGGAGCTCCCCAGTGACCCAGGGAACATTTCTGGGAAATTTCTGCCTTGATGCATAAGAAATCCTAAGGTACATTTGAGGAGAGATGCAAGAAGTGCATAATGAATAATCATTTAGGCATGGTATGATGTTCTTCAAATGAAACCTACCAGAAATTGCTCTGAAAATCATATTATTCACATTCTCTCTTGTTTCATCATGTATGTAGCACCCAAATAGTGTCCTTTAATGATTCAAATGATGTAATGATTTAAAGTCCTCCAGTTGCTTTAATGATGACCCCGCTCTTTATAGGTTTTTTTAATGTTATTTGCTAACTTGTATTTCTGAAAAATCTTGAGGAAAAAAAAATCTCATCTAATAATCTTCCTTCCTTCACTTAGCAGAAACAGCAGCAGCTGCTCAGACAGCAGGCAGAGATGCACATTCCATCTGTTTTTCCCCTTCTCTCTCCAAACAGCAAAGAGCCTAGTCAGCAGCGTGTGAAAAGATGGGGTTTCTCCATGGATGAGGTGCTGAAGGACCCAGTAGGACGAGACCAGTTCCTTCGTTTCCTGGAATCAGAATTCAGCTCAGAAAACCTCAGGTGAAACCTTTTCTGACTTGACTAAATGAATGGGACTGATCCTACTCTCTTGCATAGGTGAAATGCAATGTTTGGTGTGTCTTGAGCTGCTAAAAACACCAATTTGAATAAAGATGAGAATGGCAGGATTTGGCCCATAGCACTGGTACAGATGCCTATACGAGACCCGTGTAAGTAATCTCAGAAGCAGTGTTTAGCAGAGCCAGGATTGTCAGGTATCTTCTGCATGCAAGGGCTTGCAGACCTGTTTGATGTGATGAGATGTAGCACATCGATCCTGAGCTCCCTAACAACATACAGGTATGATTTAGGTGTGTCTTTGTGGCAGGGCTTGTGTGAGTGAAACAGTATGGTCATCATGTGGCTAAGAACTGTTGCAGTATTGATAAGAAACATTGCAGTATTGGCAGTCGTCAAATCAGGTTTGCAACAACTATTTTTAATTGTGGCATGTGCTAAGTATCCAACAGCTTGTCTCACCTTAACAGGACTCTCTATGGGTATTCTGAGTACCTGACTTCTCAAGTTGTGAAGAAGTCAAAAGGTTTATTATGAAAAATTATGTAGATACCCACGTGATCCTACATCAGGCTGAGAGCCAGTAAACCCCACTTTTTTTACAGTCTGAATAATGTTGTAGAGGCTTTGTTGCAGTGCTGAGGTTTTGTCTCAGCACATGTATGTGTAAAGGGACAGGTTCTTGTGGAGTTTTTTGGGCAGTTGTGTTCCAGAAGGCTGAGTGAGCATTTGCAGGGAAGGCCAGAGAAGCTTGCAGGTTCACTGGCAGCACTGTGACTGCTCTTGAGTCTTGGGTTGAGGAAATCTGCTGTCAGTGATCACACAGTCAGTCCAGCTTTGGCCTTTGCTGGTAGTGAGCAGGCTTGATGTTCTCTTTTTACACCAGATAAGAATCTCATCGCACAGCCTTTTTAAATTTGTATTTTTTTTCATTCTTTTTCACTTAGAAAATCAAATACATTACTAAAGCTTGTCAACAATTGTCACTGTAGTGCAGTCTGCTAGCCTGCAAGGTCTGAAAGAGGAATTCCCCAGAAAGTGATTTTTAATGACATTGGAACTTAGCATCCTATTTATCGGGTTTCCCTGTCCAAGGAAAGTACAGAAAGCATGCCAGCAGCAAACAGTGAAAACTCAATGCACTTTATTGTTTAGAAAAACCTGAAAGAAAACCTGTAAAAAAACAAGGGAGTGTTACTAATTACATAAATGAGCTTGAAATTTTATTGCTAAACAGGCACTGAACTTGCATATGCTTACTGCAGTTATGTACAGTGGCACTCATTTGCAATTAAATTGTAGTGATGAAGTGCAAAATTAATATACTGTATTAAAATACTCTTCAAATGAGTGTTCTGAAATAAATCTGAGGTTGTGCTAATGAAATCCAGCAGGTTTTATGACTAGTGTCTGTCCCCCACGTTCATCCTACTCAAACAAATGGAGAACATTTGATTATGAGAAGGCAAACTTCTACTTTCCTTGGGCAGTCAGAGCTGCTCCTCCTGCTGATGCACATTCTCTTTGATTTTGAAATGTGGTGAAGGGAGATGGCAAATCAGTGGGCTGGCATAGACAGGTTAAATCCTGCATCCTTTGTGGAAGACATTGGCATCATTCTTGGTATGGGAACTTTGCTGTCATTCTTATGGTATCATTATAATGATATTGGCTTATGTGGTAATATTATCTCATATTGGCTAAATTAGCGAGCCTGCTTAAAGCTTTAAATAACAAGATGCAAAGGCAGAAATAGTAATGAAGAAAAATGGAATAGGGTAGATTGTTAGCAGTGATGCTAGAGACAAGAAGGGTTCAGGTGAGGCAGAGAAAGATCCTTAATTCTCACTAGAAGTATGTAGCATAAAGGAAAGCAGCTGCTGGATGCTTACACATGCAAGCAAAATTTAAGTTACACTCGACAGCAAAGTTGGGATGTGCCTCACCTAAGCTGACAGCTGGGACGCACATGCTTTTTCTTATCCGGTCTCCCTTTAGGAAGAGAAGCTGAAGGGGAGTCACTGAATCACTCGAGAAGGATTTGTTTCAGATTTAAGTGGAAACAAGACTAAAAGAACCTAAATTACACTGTATAGCGCCCATTTCTTGTTGTCATGAACCTGGAGAGACTGATTCAAATGCAGTGGCTGGATGGCAGACAGCTACAGTTAAGTGAGACACATTCCACCCAAACCCTTCGAAGGTGTAAGAAACTTTCTGAGAGCACAGCATTTAGCACCTTGTTAGAAAAGTAACGTTCACAGTTAATCTTCTCAGGACTCTCTTCCTAGTAACTACCCAGAGATCTTGGAACTGTCGCGGGGGGAATGTGTTATCTCGGGAGTATCAGGAGGATTTGGGGAGTATCTGTAGAATTAACACTGGCCAGAGCCCAATAGGGCCCTGTGTTGAATTTAAGGTGGATCTGAGAAACTGACTGCTGGAAAACCTAGAAATTCATGGTAGCACTAGAAAATATTTTGTCAAGTGTGTGCTTGAGAATGCCTTGAAATGAATGTAATTCAGTAATACAGCAAGGGGACAAAATTCTGCTCTTATGCCTTGTGGTGCAAGTCCCAAATCACAGGGCTGATTGTGGTGGGGTATTTCCATCTCTTCCTAGCTGAGAAAAATTGGTCCCAGTGGGGGTCTTGGGTGAGGCACTGCTACAGATAGCAGCAGACTGGATTCGATGACCTCCCGGATCACCTTCCAGCTGTGTTTCTGTGTTCTAATAAACTTGCAGGATCATGTCCACCAGTCTCCTGGGCTAGGCTGAGCCCTGTAACTTACTTATTTACTGGCTGTCCATTATTTATGTGGGAGCAGGAAAGCCAGTCTGTTGGGTATATTTCTGTTTTTATTTTAACTCTTTTCCTTGCTCTGTTTTCTCTCTCTTCTCTGTTGTTCTCTTTCATCTACAATTTGTTTTGACTCGGGTGATTTTTGAAGTACCCAAAATATAGCAGACAAAATGCCAAATGTAAAACAAAGCAAATAAGAAAGGGTAAGAAAAGAAAGGGCCTCAGAGAGTTATTGTACCTTTTTTATGACCTGGGAACCTTCTGAGGCATCTTGAGATTGCTGAGATGTTCATTTAGCTGGTGGCTTGGATTTTTTTCCCCCCCAACTTCAAAGAGTGTCAGCTGGAAAGAGAAACAGCAAAGTGGGAATATGGGAAATGGGAATTTCACCCGAAGGGAAAGGAGGCTGCACACCTGTTTATAGACCTCAGTGGGAAACACATGATTCTTGGTGGGAATGCGCTGTGGTGCTGGCAATGCATGGATGCAGGCTTACTGACTGTGAGCATATGTTGAACGTGGAAATCGCCGAAAAGGAGTTTAACCTGTAGAAAGTGTTTATATCCTACATTACTCCTAGTGTTGAAACTTGTTGCCAGTTTTTTTCTTTTTTTCCCCAGTCTTCATCAGGAAAGGAGCAGTTCAGGCAGTGAGGAGAGCACAGTAAACACACCGAGCCGCCCCAATGTTGCTTAAATAAAGAGCATTTCCTGAGCAGTTCAGTGGCAGCGCCAGTGCCAGAGAGCTCCGGCTATGGGCAGTGCTGGCAGTGCCGGGCAGTGCCGGCTGTGGGCAGTGCCGGCTGTGGGCAGTGTGGGCATTGCCGGGCTCTGGGCAGTGCGGGCAGTGCGGGCTGTGGGCAGTGCCGGCTGTGGGCAGTGTGGGCAGTGCCGGGCTGTGCCGGCCGTGGACAGTGTGGGCAGTGCCGGCTGTGGGCAGTGCCGGGCAGTGTGGGCAGTGTGGGCAGTGCGGGCTGTGGGCAGTGTGGGCAGTGCCGGCTGTGGGCAGTGTGGGCAGTGCCGGGCTGTGGGCAGTGTGGGCAGTGCCGGCTGTGGGCAGTGTGGGCAGTGCCGGGCTGTGGGCAGTGTGGGCATTGCCGGGCTGTGCCGGCCGTGGGCAGTGTGGGCAGTGCCGGCTGTGGGCAGTGTGGGCATTGCCGGGCTGTGCCGGCAGGCGGCGCCGCCGCCCCGCGCTCAGCGGGCCCGGGCAGGGCCGCACCGCGGGCGCTGCTCACGGCCGGCGGGCGCTGCCGCGCGGCAGCCACAGAAGAGCTTTCCGGCCCCACAGCACTGAAAGGACCCCGTCCCTACCGACCCTGCGATCTCCTTGCCAGGTCCCCAGTGCCCTAGCGTGCAACTTTGCAGCATCTGCCTGTCCCCAGCTTGCTCCGCAAGGGCAGGTTTTTGTTGGTCTTGGCCACACCAAGCTCACCATGCCAAGGATCTGACCATTAAACAACACAAAGATGTGAATATTGGCCTGTCTGAACCGTGTTTTGATTTTTACCTATTGCTTTCATTCATTTCCTGGCTGAGATGTTCAAAATTATTTCTTGGTGGATGGGAGGAGATTCGTGAATGGTTAGAGATGTGAGACTGGAGGGGAATGGCATACTGGAATGGAGCTACTGAGGCAAGGAGAGAAGTGTGCTTGGATTCTGATCTCAGATAGTCACTTGATGAATTGACTGTCAAGCTAGGGGTGTTGTGTCCACCCCTAAAATGGGGTTACAGTACTGCCCTTATTTTGACAGTTGTTTCTCAGTTTCTGGAGTCATCCATATTTTGCCTTCTGATCAGGATTTTAAATTAATTTTTGTTTTACAGTGACCCTCAGAAGCAGCCACTCTCCCGCTACTCATTCTGTCTTTCCCTAGCAGCCTTTTCACTGGGGAACATCTCTGAACAGCAGTGCCCTGCAGGGAGGCAGAGCACACATGCTGAGGTCCAGGAGCTCTCTGCCTTGGGGGAGCAGTGGAGGATAAATGTCATTGTGGGATATCTTCTGCAAGTGACAGCACTTTAATTACAAGCTGGATGAGGCTGGAATGGTTTATGCCACTGACAGCACTTCAGGACACCATATTATCAGCCTTCTCCAGAAGTTACATGCTATTTTATAAAGGACAAAGAACCTGTGATCAGTGCTGCTATTCCCTCTGTGCAGACAGTCCCTGTGCCAGTCCTGCTCTGCTTAAAGGGCACCTGTGGAGAGGGCACACAAGGACATCTCCCTTCTCCCCTGCCCTTTGCAAGAGGTGTCCACGGGACATCTGTCTCCTACATAAAGAGAGGACGCAATGCAGGATCTTCACCTGACTCCTTGTGAACTTGGGGCTGGGCTTGCACTTCAGAAATTGAAGGAGTGATTCAGGGAGTGCATTTGCACTTTATAATTGAGCAGGAATTCCAGCACAGTCATTGTATGTCAGCTCCTTTCCTAAGCAGAAATACCTGTTTCTCTCTTGTAAATGCTATGTATCCCATAGGAAGCCCTGCTTATGCATTGGCTTCAGGATGATTCCTTGTGGCAGAGAATTTGCCTTGGAGTTGCAGCTGTGGGGCTGGGTACCCCTCTTTGATGTTACTTGATTTTCAGATGCCAGCTATAGCAAATAGCTTTGAAATTTTTACCAAGACAAACCCCCCCCTTTGACTTGAAGAGGACATCCAGCCTTGGGCATGAATTCACAATTGCTTGCAGTAAAAAGAGCTTGTTCTTGTTACTGTCAGGTTGGTCTGGTTGGTTGGTTTTCAGACTGAGCCAAATGGTTATTAAAATGGATGGTGCTCCTGTTCTGGCAAGCTGTCACTTCACAGTGTTCCCAGTTCTCTCACGAGTGTGCTTTCCCAGCCCGCCTCCCCGGCTCCAGGGGCAGAAGATAAGCCAGGAGAAAAGGTTCGCTCTAGCCAAGTGTTTGTCTGAAGTGTCCCAGCTACTCTGGAATGATTAGCATCTTTTCTCCTGTGTCTTTTCTGCATTCACATGTTCCCATTACATCTGAAATTGAATGATAAAGTGTTTTCAAATAACTGAAGGCGCATATGGCATCAGATTATTGCACTGTGACTGCCACCCTTTACTCTCTGCATGCATGTGATAAGTGGGGGTGTCACTGTTCAAACGATATCAGGTGCACTTAAACTCCCAATGATGGAAAGGGACCAACCATGCACACTCCTCCACCAACCCCAGATACTCTGTTTCAGTTTATAAAATCAAACATCACTGTGTTAGAACCACAAGTATGTGACTCTCTACAGGTACTGATGTAGTGCTTGAGTGTACCCCAGTTTGCTTTACTGAGCCTGCCAAGGAAATGGGAAAACCATATGAAGAAATATCATCAAGTGGCTTGGGTGAGTCAGGGCTGTGGCATGAGGCCCCCTGATGGTCTGGAAGAAGCAGCAGACAGGCAAGGAGGATTTAACCTGGCCTTGCACGTAGTGTGGATGTCATTTTTTTTCCAAATTGTCAGTTTGTCTCTATTGCAGAAAGGACACCAGGCTAAATGGGCTAGCAGCTCATTTGCTTGCAATAACACCACTGATTCCAAGGTGTTCAGGTATTGCCTGCAGCCATTAAGGAAGCAAGGGTCAGGAACAGCACAGGAGTCGCCAGGCTGCTGTCTCCTCCACCCACCCCCATTGCCATTGGGATTTTTGTTTGGGACAGGCTCTATCTTCCTCCTTCCATCACGGAGGAATATTTGCCTTAGTGGCAGCACACTGACAAAACTGAATCCTTTGGTGTCAGAAATCAGGACTTCAGTTAAAGTTCAACTGGGTTATAAGGGAGACACGGGATTTTCTAAGTTGATCCGCTCTTGCAGATGTCCTGAACAAGCAGTGTTCCAGACAATTCCTGTCCCTGCTGCCCAGCAGAGGGAGTGCATAAGAGCAGGGCAGGGACAGCCAAGGCAAACCCTGCCCTCCTCATCACCCTGGACAATGGACACCTTTTTGCCGGGGTTAGGAAAAGGTTGGTTATTGCAGCGAGGTTGCAAAGGTGCCTTCTGTACCCGTTTGCCCTGTAGCCCTCAGCACTCCCTGTGGAACACTATTGTGCTTGCTCAACCGGGTTGCAGGACCCAGGTACTCAGGGCAGAAAACCCTCAGGGATACCTTCCTGCTGGAAGATAGATTTGAGCAAAACAAAAGGCTACTAGGCACCATGCATCTTCTGAATTAATCACCTGAAAGAGCATATCTCTTTCAGCAATAAATAAAACTAGCACCACCAACAAAATGTCTTTTCCCTAGGGTAAAAGACAAAAGACATGCATGTCACTCTTGCAAAAATATTTTGTGGTCTTTGTTTTCACAGATCAAGATATGGATTATTCCTTAGTCATCAAGGAGATTATTTTCTCAGTGTTTATGAACTTGCCTTAGTCTGTAAGCATAGCCTAGTCAAGAAAATATCTCTGTAAAATTGGAGTATGGCATGACAAGAGTCATCTTTTCTCATGGCATCCATCTGAATGCTGGTCAGTTTACAATTTAAAAAAAAATTCCCTAAGTGGCATTGCTGCAACTTCACACTGGAAATGATATGAATGTTAAGTTTGTTCTTCATTTTGCACCCCTGTGAATGACTGATCCTGCAGGCAGGAATGACCAGCACATTGCAGCGGGGCTGTGGGAAGCAGAGCCTGCTCCTGTCGTCCAGCTCATAGCTCTGGAGATTTCCTGTTTGCATACCTAATCTGACACTTCTGCACGGGCAGTTTGAATAAGAATGTGTCACTTCTTAAAGTCAGTGTTCTGATCTTAGCCAAAATACAAAGGGTTGGTGTAAAGTACATCACCTCTTCTCCTTGAAATCATGCTTACAGGGAGAGTCTTCTGTGAATTCTAATAGATGCAGGATTAAGTTCTCTGTTTTAGTACTCTGCCTAGGCTTATTCACAAAATCTTACCTAGATTTCTTCTTTTTCTCTTTTCTGCTCTTTTAATTTTTTCCTAGTACAGGTTTTGGTTGGCTGTCCAAGATCTCAAGAAACAACCTTTACAGGATGTGACCACTAGAGTGGAAGAAATCTGGCAGGAGTTTCTAGCTCCTGGGGCCCAAAGTGCTATCAACCTGGATTCCCACAGCTATGAGAAAACAAGCCAAAATGTCAAAGACCCAGGGAGGTATACATATGAAGATGCACAGGTTAGTTTTTGGTTTTATGGAGCTACTGCTAATGAAACTCCCAGTTATAATATGATATTCCACTATCACGTTGTCACTGCTCACTTGTAAGAAAAAGGAGATGCACAGTTTGAAGTGACTTTGAGAGTATCTATTCAAGCTGCGTAAATGATATTTTCATTGAATCTATCTGTTGTAACAGGCTAAGGCTCCTCTGGGAACTAATGTTCCAAAATCTACAAGTCTGCAAGGTGCTGCAAGCTGGAGCCATGTCTCAGAGAAAAAGCACAGATGAAAGAGTGCTATACAGTTCAGCTTGCCTCTCTGTGCTACCTGTCACCAAAGTCTGGCATATTTACAGGATGGCCAAATATCAAAATCCTGACTAATACACTTTTTCTATATTTTATTTATTTATAGCTAATTATATCCCTCTGCCAAACCCCAAATGCAGCAACTCCCTCCAACACAGCTAGAAATTTGTCCACCAGACAATGCCTTAATGATAGGACAGTAGACAATTCAGTGAGCTTAATCCTTCCCTCCTAGGGCTCCAGATTTATCAGGGAAATTTTACAGATAAACTGTACATGGAAAATGCCTTGAGGAAAACAGATAATTTAAGAAAAACTGCTACAAGCAAAGGTAAAGCTGCATAACCTTCTGGAAAGTGAAAATATATTTTTCTAGTTTTTAAAAAAGAAAAAGGAAGAAGGGATCATTTGGCAAATATTACTAGGGACACAGTTAAAATATATCCTCCTCATAATCATTTTTATCACAAGATGTAGTAAAAACCAGCAGCAAATGAAAATAATTCCTGGGTTTGGGGATTTTTTTTTTTTAATTGGCATTCAAAGACAATTCTTCAAAATACTCCACTAACAAAATATTTTCATCTCAGGGGAGATGTTGTGGACCACTTATACAAGGTTAGGCAATGAATTTTTCAAACCAGCATCAAATGCTCTATTTTCCTGATTGCAATCTTGCTCCTTGGGGCCAGCATAGAAGGAATGTACACGAAGTTTCAGGGCAGTCTCCTGTGAATATCAGGCAACTTAAATGCCCTTTTTAAAGCTGAGAAATACAGAAGTACGAAGACATTCTGGCTAAGATGTATTACTTGCTTGGCAGTTGCAGTGAAAAAGAACTTCTTGCATCACCTGAAAAAAATGATGATGGCAAAATTAATGCTAGAGTAGATAGGTGAATAATGGGGGAATTGATTAAATTGGTAAGTAGAAGTACTAAAAATAAGACAAATGTTTAGACAATGAGTGTTTAATTAGAAGAAGACGTGGAGGATTTAGCCTTGAACTGATGAGTTCACAATGTAATTGCCATTCAAAGGGGAGTTGATAAAATCAAGCTGGAGCCCTGGCAGTTAGACTGCAATTTTAGCTCCTTGGCTTAATTTTATTTCAGTGGGTTTTTGTAATGACAGATGTCCTCAATTCATCTGTTGTGGTTTATGAACACAGAAATATGAGGCAAAGGTAGACCTTCAGGGCCAGCTATGGTTATCTTGGAGATTGAATCTATGCCAAGAGAGGATAGCACAATGTGGAAGGTGAACCCAGTTACCTTCTTGTATGGTGGGCTTCTGGTAGTTCTCCAAAGGCCAAGCAAGCTGTTTGTGACTGCTTGGCTGGATAGCTGAGAAGGCATTCTAACAAAAGCAGGAAGAACAGGACATTGCTGAAGGGTGTAGTGCCCTGATAGAGTTTTTACTGGCTCATCCTAGAGAAGGGACGTTTTTGTTTGCACGTCCACTTCATGGGAGCCAATGTAGATCATCCCAGGTTGCTGTGAATCTCTCAGGTACAGCCATGGTGTTTCTTGCAGGTCAGCCCTGCCACCACTAAGGCTCTTGTCCATGAATCTGCAGCAGCTGCCTTAGCACTCTGGCACCAGGAGCCCATGGGAGCTCCCACAAATCCCACATTCCTAGGGACTCAACCAGATACAACTAATCAAAACACCCTCTGTGGGAGGGGAAAATATGAGTGTTGTCCTGTCCTGTGTACCTTTAGCACAAAGAAGAAAACAACTGAAATGTCCTTGTAAGAACAACAAAAAATTTAGTTTACTCAACAGCACATTCTTTGAATGCCTGCAGGTCTGCAAACTAAGAGGAAGGAAAAGTGTTGGCTGATCTGAGAAAATTAGTTTGCTACTCCTGCAGTGGAAGAATAGGAGAAGGTGATGTGACATTCTAGTCATGACTTGAGAGATCAACAAAATGCCAGTTCTTTATAAAAAGCACAGGAAATGGACACATTGCTGTACTCAGGAAGGCAAGGTATAGCAGAGCACATTCAGGCCAGCCAGTGCTTTATAACAGCAAGTTTAAAGCAAAGCATCATTTGTTATCAGTTGCCTTACAGTCTACATTGATGTGCTTCTTTGCACACCCTTGGCTCCCAGCCCCAAAGAGCTCTCCTAGATGCTGCTCAACCATCTGGTAAGGAAACTAGCCTAGATAAAAACAGGGAGAAAAGGGGCTCTTGGCAAACATGCCTCTCACTTCAAACCTCTTTGTCCCTAGGCCAGTCATGGTTTGAAAGCAAATGGTTCCTTTGATTAAGAAAATCTCAGCTCCAAATCTCAGTCATCAAAGTGCTCCTAATACAAACCTGAATTTGGTGTGCATTTATTATTTTAGGCAGACCTCTCTCTGATATGGATTCCTGTTCCACAGAAGCGTTTTGCCATTTCCCCATGCACTGCTGGGCTTGCAGAGAGCTGCCCCTCTTGCTGTGGCTCCTGCAGGTGCCATTGCCCATCCCAATGTACATTGAATACCCAGCTCAAGCTGTGCCAGCACATCTCAGCTCTGAGCAGAGTGTGCCGTGCTGGCTCAGCCTGCACTCCCCTCCCCAGCTGTCCAGTTTGTTGGTGTTTCTGTCCTTGAGCAGCCCAGCACTGCTCCTAGCTCTGTCCTCATCAGCAGCTCTGCCAGCTATCTTCATCCACAGCACCTTCTGACATTTTAGTGCTGGGCCCCTCTAGAGGGGAGCCTACCAATTTAGCTGATTATTTTCTGCTCTTAAACAACTGTCCTCAGAGTAAAATATTATGATTATCAAACCATTTTCACTGGGGAACAAAGCAGCTTTTAATACAAGGGGCATCATCAGGAAAGGTCAGTTCAATTAAACAGTGAAGTACTTAGCAGGATGTAAGCTCCCACAGGAGTTATCAGCATCATTGAACAACCAGTGTGGAGCCCTGCAATATGAAGGAGGCACCACCAGCTCTGGAAAGTAAATAGGTTTGGGTCCATCTGAATGGTCTCTTTTGGCTAATGAAGCTGCTGACAGCCAAAGTAATTCATCTTTACATGGGAACACAGAGCTGTGAGTGTGACAATTATGGCTTATCTGTACAACACGTTATTAGTTTTTTAACCATTCCTCCCCTACCCCATCAAGCATCTACTTGCCTTCCCTGAAATGCATTTCTGACTTCAGAAAATCTTTAATCCCTTCCTCAGTCCCTTGCCGTTGGGAGCTACTATCACTAGGATGCATTGTTTCCTCACAGTAGTGTTTGTAGGGACATTCAGTCTACATTTACTGGTAGTCTTCAGAGCTAGGTGTACCAGAGTCAGGTAAGCCACATAGTTGTCTTTGGAATTCCTTTCCTGTTTTCTTTGTTTAGTTTTATTCTTTAATAAATAAAATAGAGTTTTAGATTGATATTCCTTTACCTGAACTAACCAGCTGTTGTTTCTATGAAGATGATTCAGGGAAATTCAGATCTAATCCAGGCTCAGTTAGGGATTTTAACTGTTCTTTGCAGATCTTTGGCTAATCCCAGAGCAGATTTAGACCACAATGCTAAATTCCAGTCAGCTCAAACCAGAAATGTACCTGTCCCAGATTTGAAGCATAGCATAATTTGGGACAGAAGGGACCTTTAAAGCTCGTCTAGTCCAGCTCCTCTGAAATGAGCAGGGTACATCTTCAACTAGATCAGGTTTCTCAGAGCCCCGTTCAACTTGACCTTGAATGTTCCCAGAGATGGGGCATCCACCACGTCTCTGGACAATCTTGGCCAGGGTTATCTGGTGTCCATTATCTGCATTGTATAAACTTTCTTCTTTAAACCTAATCTTGAGATTTGAACCAAGTTCATGCTCTCAGCTGTCCCATGTGTAGTTCAGTTTGTTCTGGACTGTGATAGAGATACGAATCCTTGCAGGATTTATCAATGATCACTCATCAGTTTGCATTCTGGTCGTATTAGGAAGCTCAAGGTGCTGACAGAACTTGACAGGATCCTGTTGAATTCAAAACCAAACTCCAAGTTTAAGAAAGGATCTCTTGGAAGTGAAATGTTATTTTTTACCAAGAAGGGAAAATGAGGAGTGACTTCTAGCTTTGTGTTTTCAAGCATGTACAGAATGTGAAAGGCCTGGTGTCTATTCAGTGGGCATAGAGAACTCCTTTTGTAGGTCTTGAGCAAAATCACAGCGTGAAAGGAAGATGCGAAAATAATCATTCATCGTATGTCTGTATTATCTTTCATGTAATAACTTGGAGAAACATTATTCCTATTTTCTTAAAGTTTTGCTCAGTTGTCCCAGTTGCATGTGTGTAGAGGACAATGACTAAGAATTGGTTAGCAGTGCAGGCAGCCAGCAAGGAGAGAGACATGGGGCAGACCAAGGTGCTCTGCCTCTAAGAGGGGATCAAGTCCACCTGAACCAGTGCTGCTCAGAGACCTTGAGCCTTCACTGTGGGGAATTGAAAGCACTGCTATATTACATCAGTATTTACACATGAATGGTGTGCCCAGGGCTCCTGGGGGGTTTTGACAGCTTGTACCTTCCTCTGGAGGTTAGGGACTGCACAAGGACTTGACATTTATTCCCTTCTCCTTCTTTGGCTCTGATTCTGTGGGACTGGCGGAAAAACTCCTTCCTTACACTGTACTCTGGTTCTCCTCCTTGTATTTGGGTTATGGTGACTGTAGAAAACACACAGAGTCTTATTGTTGTGTATTTGTTACAC